ATGAACCTTTGCATACATTACATCACTTCAGAAAGCTGTTAATGTTTGACCATCATGACCCAGAGAACACCAATCAACATGCATTTAAAGCCATTTCAACAAACCTGCTAGCAAAACGACAGCATTCACAGCTGACTGCAGCCAATCTGAGGGAAAAGGAAAGTGATATTAGTCAGCACATGTAAATAATAGCTTAGGCTGAAAATGCACCCCTCATTTAACCCTCGCTTACCTTAGCTTTACTAAACATCAAACACACTTTCCTCCAGAATATAGTAGTGTGTATGTGACAGCAGGTCCATCTCTTCATTTCTGTCATTGTGTGTCTCTCTCAGGTCCTTCTCAGTCATGTCTGCAGTTGCCACTACCTTCTAAACTCCTCCCACTGCTTTAGCTCTCATTTTTTAAGCCCTTCATTGCCATTTATCGGGGGTTTCTCTTCATTTTAAGGTAAGACTCTTCTTGTGGTATCCAAATAGCTTTTGTTTTTGAGTCTCTGTGAGATTGTGTTCCTCTTAAGTGACTGTGGGAGTGATTTTTAAACCCTCCCCCAGCTCGAGCTCTTCCTCTATCTCTTCTCTCTGCTTTCTTTTTCTCTCATCTTGTGACTCAGCTCAGTCTGAACACATGACTGCAGGAATGTACACACAATTTCACAGCGCCTCGCCAAAAAGTGTGTGATTGTGCTTGAATCATGTGTGTGAGCACAGAGAAGAGATGGTTATAATGTGCTTTTTGTTGCAAATATTTACTGATGGCAATACTGGCATGCTGTGAGTATAGAAAACAAATGAAATGAGTGCTTGAATCAGGTGCAGTTGTTTTTTTATACACCTGCTTCAGAATAGTAAATGTTTTCTGTGAACTCTGTAGTTAAAAATTGACATGATTTGTATACTACATAATAAAAAGTAATCATTTGCACAATTTATTTAAGGATCAATGCATTATTAAATAACTAATATACCATGTAATATATTCTCATATGTCATTAAATGATATGCTATATACAGCTGAAGTCTAATTATTAGCTCGCCTTTGAATTTTTACTTTTTTAAATATTTCCCAAATGATGTATATATATATATATTAAAATATATATATAAAATAAAAAAATAAAAAATAATAAATATATATATATATATATATATATATATATATATATATATATATATATATATATATATATATATATATATATATATATATATTTGGAGAAAGTCTTATTTGTTTTATTTCGGCTAGAATAAAAGTAGTTTTTTTTTTTAAATCCCTTTTAAGGTCAAAATTATTAGCCCCTTTAAGCTATATAAATTTTTTGGATATTCTACAGAACAAATCATAATTATACAATAACCTAATCTGCCTAGTTAATGTAATTCAACTAGTTAAGCCTTTAAATTTCACTTTAAGCTGCATAGTAGTGTGTTGAAAAATATCTAGTCAAATATTATGTACTGTCATCATGACAAATATAAAATAAATCTATTATAAAATAGTTATTAAAACTATTATGTTTAGAAATGTGTTGAAAAAATCAGGCGGGCTAATAATTCTGACTTCAACTGTATATTCTAATATTATTAGTATGTACAATGTAATGTAATATAATAATTCAGTTTTATGTATATTAATTAACAAAGTCTTCGACAAAAGTTTTTTTTTTTCATTCATTCATTCATTTACTTTTCGGCTTAGTCCCTTCATTAATCCGAGTCGCCACAGCAGAATGAACCACCAACTTATCCAGCACATTTTTTCGCAGGGGATGCCCTTCCAGCCGCAACCCACCCCTTGGAAACATCTACACACACTCATTCACACTCATACACTATGTGTTTTGTAAATTTAGCTTACCCAATTCACCTGTACCGCATGTCTTTGGACTGTAGGGGAAACCGTAGCACCCGGAGGAAACCCATACGAACGCAGGGAGAAAATGCAAACTCCACACAGAAACACCAACTGACCCTGCCAAGGCTCGAACCAGCGACCTTCTTGCTGTGAGGCGACAGCACTACCTACTGCGCCACTGCGTCGCCAACAGGGCTTTTTTTTGAAAAATGTAAAAAATTAAAAAGATTTTGTAAAAGAAAAATGCATCTAATTTAGGTTGGACATGACTGATATTTGTGTGCATAATTAAAATCAATGCATGTATCACATATCATATAATATTATGACCTATTATATTAACAACCCAGGCTCATTCTGAAAGCGTACCCCTATATACATTTCTGGAGAGTGCGAAATACATCCCAGGAGGTAATTTTTTTTTTGCACTTTTTATTCTTGCGAATCCACCAGAGGCCGCTGTCAACTGACTGACTGACCAAACCAACCCCCCCACCCCCTTCCATAAACCCCAACCAATAGTTTTTTCAAAAGTACCGTTTGACCTGATCATCCCCTTCCCTAAACCCAACCGATTGTGTTTTTAAAAGAAATCCAAGAAAAGAAAAGCCCTCACCTGTTTTTTACCACGTTTTCACATCTTATCACGTTGTTATTTACTTGCTTATTTAATTTGTTGCCTTTTGTTTTTGTTTTAACGGCTTTCTGGAAAAGAAACAGAAGCTGTCGGCGATGTCATACCGCCCTGTAGCGTTCGTTTCAAATTACTTGATTCAAAATTATTTATATACACAGTGGGGGAAATAATTATTGAACACGTCATGTTTTTTATTTTAGGAAATAATATTTATAAAGTAGCTGTTGACAAGGAATTGAACCAGATTTTGGTAAAAACCCAAACAATACAAGCATTTAAAAAAAAATAGATATGTGTAATAACATTTGAATGACACAAGGAGAAAGTACTAAACTATTGAAATGTATTTAATGGGCTACTTTACATAAAAGGCATGAAAGGCTTTTTTAGGGATGGCAGCTTAAAGACGCCCCTCATATCCAGAATGAAGTCACATGCATTGCTCAGGTGTGATTTTTTTTTTCACAGACTTCAACAGAGTGCAAACATCTTGATGGTTCTGTAGGTTTTGTCTATCAAATCTGATCTTTAAATAGTAGTCTCTATTGGATTCAAGTCAGGTGATTGGCTGGGCAGCTTGATTCTACAGGTTGATTTTCTTTCTCTGAAATCATTTGAGAGTTTTACTTGGCTGTGTTTTGGATTAGTGTCTGGCTGAAATGTCCACCCTAGTTTCATCTTCATCATCATGCTAATATTAGTTTCAGCTAATATTAATTCACAATGACAAAAAGCAAAAACTTGCTGAATAACTACTCAAAGATTTTTAGGTGCTGTTGGCTTTCGCTACCTTTCTACACCTTCCTCTTTCGTGTGTTCAATACTTTTCCCTGTGTCATTTCATTTTATTACACACAACTTAATTTGTAAACCAATTAAATTGGTTTTCTTCGGGCATTAGAATTCATTTGGTTGTTTCCAACATCAAGCGAAAATTTCAAGTCAACAACACATTAAAAATATAAAATGTATTATTATTATTATTATTATTATTATTATTATTATTATTATTATTATTATTTGTAGTAGTAGTCGCAGTATTGTTGTTATTATTTTATTACTACTGTTTTGTAGTGGAGTGATAATGTGCACCTGTTCAGACATTTGTCAAGTATATTTGTCAAGTATATTTAAAAAGTCTTTTTTCAGTTACATCTTCTGCATTAATAAAAAAGTATGATGTAGTAAAGATTAAGGGTATATTTACAACATATACAGCAATTTAATAAATCAAACACAAAATGCTTTAAAGCAATGTGTTCTCAGTCTGAAGGTCCCTTGTTAACTTACACGCACATTAGAATCACTTCTGCTTTTGTCTGGTTTGTTATAACAGGTCAAGATGTGCTTTTTGTTTTAACCAACATCTTATGACTGATTATTCAGCAGCACAAAAGTCCTACAGTACTGTTTACAATTTACATAAAGAAATTAAGAACACAACAGAAGTGCATCCTAGACTTATTCATTCATTCATTTTCTTTTCGGCTTAGTCCATTTATTAATATGGGGTAGCCACAGCGGAATGAACCGCCAACTTATCCAGCATGTTTTTACACAACGGATGCCCTTTTAGCCGCAACCCATCTCTGGGAAATGCTTAACATTATACGTCATATAATGTATATATGGGGACAACATCCTTATTTTATGTTCAATTAACTTAAATTCCTAAAAACTAACAAGTTAACTTAATTCCTTCATGTTTTCCCTACACAAATTGATTGAGTGGAACCCAGGATTTTTTACAGGATATAGACAACTCTTGGTAACTGACCCCATCTGCTGGAAGAGACAAAAGTGCGCTGGTAAAACAGTGTTGATGTTTTTAGTTAATATAGGCTAGGCTACTGTTACTAAAATAACCAAAAGATAAAATGGATTGATTAAAAACTAGATAAATAAATTCATCCATTTTCAATAACCTATTTATTTATTTACACATTTATTTACTTACTTTAAGCATTTTTATGATTTTAATATATTTAATATATTTTTTTAAATAAATGATTTATCATAATTTAGTTTATTTATTTGAATCTTATTTAATATTGTTTTGTAATTAATTTGAGTTTTATTTTTTATTAGTTAATTTCTTAGTTAATTTAATCCTAATTTTGTTTATTTGTTTGCTTCTGTTTTGAGTGTTTTGTTTTAATACTTTTGAAATAAATGTATAGTTTCTGCAAACTAACGTTACTGATGACATTTTTAGTTTTGAATAAATGCTATCCGAACTTAATAGAATATCGCTTTAATGACTTAAAACCCATATACGTAGTTAATGCAGAGAATACGTGTCTTGATTATTTCTCAATGACTGCATATATAATGTAATATATCATTTGCATTTGTATTTATGTACCAACTGTGTATTCCACGTCTGCCTGTTCTTTATGTAAATTGTTGTGGCATGTGACTCTGACGTCACGCACTGAAAGTCATGTGACTCTTATAAGGATGTGAGTCCCCTGTGGTTGGGAATATGCTTAGCAAACGTTATTAAAGGAGATAAAGGAGACAAATAATTTATTTAGGAAGAGACTGCCCCTTCTCTTCATCTGGTTTATCGTTGCAATGGATTTTATTCGACAAATTGGAATTTTACTCGGGATTGCGGTGCTTTCCAGCGCGCGTGCCGACAAGACTCAGGTAAATACACGACTTCTGTCACATGATGTTATTTCTTTTGTCCGTAAAATGTCGTTTTGTGTTATTACGCATTATAAACAGGTGCTGCTCCTTCGTCGGAGTGGAACGTGTATGCAGTAGTTTAACTAAGGTTTTATGTTTCCGTGAATAGTCTTCTCACCAAGACAAACTCAACACTTAAACTGAAACTGACACTTGCTACTGTATTATTTTTTTCATAGGGATGTAATGCATTTGTAAATAAAAATAAATAATAATAAGATTTTTTTTTAATTCTTGTCCAGCCCTTGTTGAAGTATATACAGTAGGGATGTATAAATATATGCACACACCATGTACGTGTCTGTCTGCAATGTTAACTTTTCAAATGTTTTTATTTGCTGTGATTGTAAATTAGAATTATTTTGACAATTTCTTTTGCCTACATTTGGATAATGTCATCAGTGCTTTAAAGAATAAAACAGTAAATATATTTTAATATAACAAAAATAAAAATACAAAATGATTCAGAATTTTCAAGTGGACTCTTTAATTTTCCCCCCATGTGTATATGTACATACAATATAATACAGTAAATAGTATAAAAAAGTTAGTTTTATATATGCAATATAATTTATTTATTCATATGATAATACTAAGTTATTAAAAAGACTATAGCCAATAAAAAGATTTGCACAGAAAAAAAACTGTTGACAACAAGCATTGACGTTGACTGTCATGTGATTGTCATATGAAAGAATATGAAAGGTTTTTGTATCATGGTTTGATTATTTTACTTGCCACAGATTGATCCGCTGATATACGAGGAACAGTTACTATGGGTCAGTGGTGGAGCCGGTCAGGTCAACGCTTACAGGATTCCTCTGCTAACGTTTACATTGCGTGGAAGCCTGCTGGCGTTCTCTGAGGCCAGGAAAATGTCTTCTAGTGACATTGGGGCAAAGTTCATTGCTCTGAGACGCTCCACAGACAGAGGTAAATCACACGCATTCACCAGCTCTAGGCATGGGTCGATATAAGATACTGACGGTATGATAACGTTGGATAAAAACATCACGGTTTCATGGTATTGTGATTACTGCTCTGAAATATATTCTGTTTAAATGTCTGGTAAAAAACTAAAACTTTTTTTTTCTTTGAACACAATATATTTTAATTTGAGAATCATTTAAAGTATTTTGGAGCAGTAAACTTGTCAGGCTAAATACTTCAATTGAATCATTGACTTATGATGTCTTCATTAGGTTCCAAAACACAGATTACTTTACAATTTAAAACGGCATCTTCGGATATTTTTTTCTGCTGGAGATACTGCTGTCCTTAAAAAATTTAAAAAAACATTCATATAAAATCTTACACATACCTTAGGATTGGTATAGCAGAAACTTTTGGCGGTTTTGAAACCTTGACTTTTCCAATCCCTGGTATACCTTGAAATCGTCCCATGCCTAACCAGCCCACTCCAGAATGCTTCATAAATGTTTATTTTTCGAGATCGCAACTCAATTTCTGTTTTATTCCTCAGGTGCCACCTGGTCTCCCACCTCGTTCATAGTGGACGATGGTTCTCTAGCCGATGGGTTGAGTCTGGGTTCAGTTGTAGTGGATGAGGAGACCGGCGCTGTGATCATCATCTACTCTCTGTGTTTTCACCAGTATCAGTGCAGCCCCTCCAGCACGATGATGGTGCAAAGTCTGGATGATGGCTTCACCTGGAGTGTTCCACGAAATCTCTCTATCGAGCTGGGGGTGAAGAGCTTTGCTCCTGGGCCTGGATTTGGAATACAGGTGAGTAATTCCATGTCAACAAATTCCATGTTCAATGTCAACATTGCCACGCAAAAAAAAAAAATTCGGACACAGAAGTTTTTTTGTCTAAGTAAGTATTTTACAGTACTTTAAAAATACTCGAAAATGTCTCTGTTAGTACTTTCAAACAATTATATTTAACTAACCAAATTTACACAAGTGCTAATTTCAATGTCACATCTGTAACGAAGAAGTGTCACATTCATAACGAAGCTGTTTCCACATAAATGCAAAAAAATCAAATAAAATCTCATAAAAAATCTCATAAAATAAAATCAATTATTTTTTTTCTACAGAGAGCCAACTCCTTTAGATTAGCATTATTTCTTTTGAGTTGTGCTGTTTAATTGACAGAATTTCTACAAAGTATGTTGTTCACTGTAAACTCGACAAACTTTTTGGTCACATCCATAACGCATGTTTATTTTTCTCATTTAAAATATAAAAAATGTTTACAGATTTATATATTTCTGATCCCATAACTTTTAGGTTACTTGTTTTGGAAAATATTAAAGGATAATTATAATAGATTGAAACACATCTGCCAAATAAATTCTGACATAGCTGCAAACATTAATCCAACGTGACTAATCACCTGTTTTCAATGATTAGTCCAGTGCAGGGGTTCTCAATCCTGTTCCTGGAGATCTACTGCTGCATCCCAATTCACACACTTGTACTGCGCCCTAAAAGTCTGTACTTTTTTGTGAAGGAAAAATATATACTTTTGAGTGTGTAACAGAAGAGTATGCAAGCTTTGGGACATACTACTTCCTCATTAACAGATTGTTATGTTGCTTAGTTACGTCCCCTGTCAATCATCCACACATCATCCACTGTCATATCTGTCAGATTTAATTTCCTACCTTATCGGAGAAGCAGCAGCAGGTTAATCTCCCACTCATGAGTCTTTCATGCACAGAAATCTCCTCAGGTCTTTGGATAATTATGCTTTTAGACGTTAAGGTCCAAACAGGTTCACGTTGTTGCAGATGAAATAACTCAGAAAATGTGGTTTAAACATGTTCCAGTGGGCTAGATATTAATTAACACTCATACAAACATCTTTACTGAAGCCTCTCTACTTGACAGTTGGTCTTGTTGGCTGTCATGTTTGTAGTCTATTTACACTTTTCACCCGCGTTTGTAGTTCTAATCGAATTCATGTCCAACGTGCAATGTATTGTGGGCAATATTAGTGGGTAGACTCTTCTACACTTAAATTTTTTACCGGAAATAGTGAACCATCAGGGAACCTTTGGCATACTCTTTTCAACATACAATATTTGGGACATACTAATTCCATTTTCAAATACTATTTAGAACGGATAGTAAGTGAATTTGGATGCAGCATACCTTTCTGCAGATTTCAGTTGCAGTTCATATCAAACACACCTGCCTGTAATTATCAAGTGCTGTTCAGGCCCTATTTAATTGGTTCAGGTGTGTTTGTTCAGGGTTGCAGCTGAACTTTGTAGGAAGGTAGATCTCCAGGAACAGGGTTAAGCAGCCCGTAGTCCAGTGTCTTTTCAGTTTCTCGGTTGCTAGCTTACCAATATCCCGTGTTGAAAAGTAAAAAAATCTAAAAGTAATCAGGAATTGTACTTTATTAAGGACTTAAATAAATGTGCACTTTTATTTTTACTTGAGTATATTTTAGTTGTGTATCGGTAAACAAAACAAGCGAGAGACTTAATGGACTTAAACAATTATTAATTGCTCTACAGAATGTTATGTTTTCAAATAAATACACAAATACAAGGACCCTTATAAATGGCACTGGTTTATCTATTAATTTGCAGTGTATAAGGTGGAATCATTTTAACTGCATATACATTACTCACCACTCTTCAGTATGTTTAGAAGGGTTACATTTTACTCATGCTTTGATTTAGTATTTAGGGTCCCACTTTATATTAGGTGGCCTTAATTATTATGTACTTGCATCAAAAAATAAATACAATGTACTTACTGTGTTCATAATGTATTGCAGAACACTTCTGGTGCTCCTGAGGTGGCATACGAGTAGGGTTAGGGACAGGTTTGGTGGTATGAGTAGGATCGGGTTAAAGTGTAAGGAATGGTCTACAGAGTAATTAATTACAGATATAATTACATGCAGGTATTTAATCAATCATAAGTACAATGTAAAAGCATGTAGTTACACAAATTAGTTTCAGTGTAAAAACCTATAGATTATTTTAAGGGGTGTAAACAAAAACAATGGTCCCAATGTATTTCCTGTTTTACGTTTTTATTTTCTACAGCTTCAGAGAATCCAAAAAGAGACGCATATTGATAAATAATGTCCTTATAACAGTTTTAACATTAAGTTAGGATTGAACTGCTTCTTGTTCAGAGATGGGAAGTACCTAAGTACAAATACTTCATCACTGTACTGAAGTAGATTTTTCTGGTATCAGTACTTTACACCACTACTTATTTTTTTGACAACTTTTTACTTTTACTCCTTACATTTTCACACAAATATCTGTAATTTCTACTCCTTTCATTTTCATGTGTTTGGTGGCGCGATCTATATTATTTCTTGTCATTGCGCAATTTGAGTGCCTTTTGATGCAGTCTGTCTGTTTTTTGTGCCTGCGTGCTGCAGTGTGCGGCTAGTACGCGCCATATGTAGGCTAGTTTATGGCGTTTTTGCTATGAGAAAGGCAAGGATGACTAATTTAACATGACTGATGTTGCCCTTTTTTACTCAGTTATAAGACACATTTTGCTTGATCAGATCACAGGTAAACAAGAGAGACACATTCCAGTTCAAAAATATGCCATACAAATGCTTAAGGTAAACAGTCTTTAGTCCACTTACAATCATACTGCATGGGATTTTTCAGATCTTTCAATCTAATACTGTGAAAAAAGTGTTTTTTAGTACTAAAACAATAAAATGTGGGAGACCTTATATTTACCTACCTAGTATAACTAAAATGTGTAGTAGTAATGGGTACTTTTTATTTAGGTAAATTTTTGAGGCCATTTTTTACTTTTTATCTTTACTTTTACTTGAGTACAAAAATGTAGTCAGTACTTCAACTTTTTCCAGAGTCATTTAAAACATGAGAATCCGTGCTTCTACTTGAGTATGGGATGTGTTTACTTTTGCCATCTCTGCTTGTTTTACAGTTATGAAAAAGTTTGATAACAAGCAGGAAATGTATATGGGCCAATGACTTGGCCACATTAAAATGGTCTATTAGTTAAGGCCTCGTAACATAAAGTGGCACTGTTTTTAAAACAGATTCTTTTACTCAACTTGCTTTACAAGTAATGGTACTTTTACTTGAGTATGATTTATTTTAGTGTTCTTTCCACCGCTGTCAATGCCAACATCAAAAGGCTTGAGAGAAACTCACCTAATTCATATTTGGGGTCGTTTCTTTTTTTGGTAACTATAAAAAGATTCGCTTCAGCTTAAGATCAATACTGTTTGCTTCTGTTCCTCCTTCAAAAGAAAACGAAATTCAGATTTTATGACTTCCTGTTGTTTATGATACTTTTAGATCTCTGGGTGATATAAAACTACATTTTATCAAGTCTGTGGTTAAGCATTGGCTTGTAAAGGGGAACAAATGACCTGACATGGCCTTTTCCAGCTTTTTCAGATTGCGTGCTGTTTGCTTTCATGTATTTGTTTGTTTTGCAGAAGCGGTATCCACCCAGTAAGGGCCGTTTGGTGGTGTGTGGCCATGGCACCATTGCTGGCGATGGGGTTTTCTGCATCTTGAGTGATGATCACGGTAGATCCTGGAGATATGGAGCTGCTCTGAAGAGTATCCCTTACAACCAGCCTAAACAAGACCTGGATTTCAACCCAGATGAGTGTCAGGTAATATTTAACAGCGTCTTTAATTTGCTGTATGTATGTTTACAACTCAGTTGTTGCTGTTTTTAAAGATATTGTCATTGAATCCTCCGTTTCTGTTGCTTTGTTTCTATTCTTAAATCATTTCTCAGTTAAGAAATTCAGTTATGGCAGATTGTTTTTCTTCTAAGCATTTTAACATCAAAGCCTGCATTGTAAATACTTATTATATGTCAATAATAATATTATTAACAATACTACTAGTTATTTTGTGACTCTTTTTATTTTTACAATATTAGAGAATAGTATCACACTACTAATAAAAGATAGAATGATTAACATTTTTAATGCGTTCAAACAGCCAAAAAGGACATGCTACTTATTGGCAATACCTAAACATGGCCAGTATTTGTATATGGATGATTGACTGTCAGACACTCAAAGACAAAAATTATTAGAAAAATACACATGACACATGAAACACAGAAAAATATTGATAACTAAATAACCCAACATAAAACACTGACACTAAATATGTGTTTTGCCATGTTCATTCATTCATTCATTTTCTTGTCGGCTTAGTCCCTTTATTAATCCGGGGTCGCCACAGCGGATTGAACCGCCAACTTATCCAGCAAGTTTTACGCAGCGGATGCCCTTCCAGCCACAACCCATCTCTGGGAAACATCCACACACACACACTCATACACTACAGACAATTTAGCTTACCCAATTCACCTGTACCACATGTCTTTGGACTATGGGGGAAACCGGAGCACCCTGAGGAAACCCACGCGAAGGCAGGGAGAACATGCAAACTCCACACAGAAACGCCAACTGAGCTGAGGTTCGAACCAGCAACCCAGCGACCTTCTTGCTGTGAGGCGACAGCACTACCTACTGCGCCACTGCCTCGCCGTTTGGCCATGGTATTTATCGATTTTTGTAATATATGATAATTCATTGTTAAACAATTCACAGTTTTTCTCTGTGGTAAGATGACCAAATACCTAACAAAATTATCGGTTAACGGTTTATTGTACAATTTTTCTATGAAACGTACATTTATTTTTACACTGTAGGCTTGATATTAAACAACTCTTCTGCACTGCTTCCTGTTTGTTTTGACACCTTATCCCACATCCCTTTTGTCTGTCCTAGTGATTAACAGTTTTGTTGACACTTAAGCAAATTACAGAATACTGCAGAATACAGTATCTCTGTACAGAAACAACATTTTAATCCAAAACTAGGCCCCAAAACAGGCATTGAAGTAAGTCATAACTTAACTATAATTAAATACAATTTAAATATTCTTCAATATTTAATGGTCAAAAATAAAAAGTAAACAAACAAACAAACAAATAAATAAATAAAAAGTAAGGTACATGAAATAAATACATGCCAAAATTCAATAACTTAATATATTGTGATAATGAACATGCACACTAATAATGTCATAGACACTTCAAAATACTGTAAAAGTGTGAAGTATAGTTTATTGTTTAAACGTTGGGCGGCACAGTGGTAGGTATTGCTGAAGGTCGCTGGTTTGAGCCTCGGCTGGGTCAGTTGGCATTTCTGTGTGGAGTTTGCATGTTCTCCCTGTGATCGCGTGGGTTTCCTCCGGGTGCTCAGGTGAATTGGGTAGGCTAAATTGTCCGTAGTTAATGAGTGTGCATGGATGTTTCCCAAAGATGGGTTACAGCTGGAAGGGCATCCGCTTTGTAAAAAACATATGCTGGATAAGTTGGCGGTTCATTTCGCTGTGGCGACCCCAGATTAACAAAAGGACTGAGCCAAAAAGAAAATGAATGTATGAATGTTAAAGCTTTTAGAGTGCTTTTTTAAGATATTCATATTGTATTCGGTTTTCATGAATGCTTGGAGACAATTATTTTGTGACTATTTATAGGGCTGTTGTTTGTTTAGACTAGCTTAGTTACTCATGATGAAACCTACAAAACCTTTTATTTATCTTTAGTGATGCTGATTTCATAGATAATGCCTAATAACATGTTCAAATTCATTCATTCAGTCATTTTCTTTTTGGCTTCGTCCCTTTATTAATCTGAGAACCGCTAACTTATCCAGCATATGTTTTAGCAGCGGATACCATTCAAGCTGCAACCCATCACTGGGAAGCATTCATATACACTCATTCACACACATACACTACGAACGTTAACGGCTGCCACGTTAAAATTACAAGCCATAATTATTTTATTAATAACTAATTCATAACTAATAAAATGTTGTTGTTTTTTTTACTAATATTACCATAGTAACTAATAAATCTGGCCTTTTCTCACTTTTGATCTTAATCTATTATTTATTATTTACTACTGATGAACTTGCCTGTTGAACTTTATAATCCTTTTGCAATTTAATTTGGTTGAAATATTTGTTTACTCTGAACATGTATATGCAATAAAGCAATACTTCCTCCAATATTTCCTCATTATACATGTTAAAATAGTATTTTTTGCAGCTTTGGTCAATATTGTAAACTGTGATAAAAGCTTCAGCTATTAATTGCAACAAGAAAATTTTATACCGTCATAAGACTTACAGCAAGGAGAATAAGTATTTAACGTGTCACCTTTTTTCAGAAAACATATTTTTAAAAGTGACGTTTTTTCCCTAGGATGTGGTAAAATAATCCATATATGCAAAGAAAATATATCGAATTAGTTTAAACAAAGGTATGCGTTATAAAATGAAATAACGCTGGGAAAAGTTTTGAACACATGAAGAAATGGAGGTATAGAAAGGCAGTAAAAGTACAGACAGCAGCTGAAATCTCTCAGTAATTCTGAATCTCTCAGTTCAAACTGAAGTTTGCGCATACAAATCGAAGAAATAAATATAACAAAACATTCCCTTAATCTCCTCCCCAATCCACTAAATAAGAAAATAACAATATGAAAAGAAAAATCTTCAGCGCAAAGCGCCCTGAACTTACTCTAACTGATAAATAAAAATACAACATTAGCGCACTTCGCTAATTAGTGTGTCTATACATCAATAATCCTGCGTGCAAATATGTATGTCACGTGACTTACTATGTTGTTCCAGATCTCCCTTGTCAAGTCACAGAAGGTTTTTGAATGGAGCAATAGCGGGCTAGAGATGTAGAAAACACTCGTCAGAACTCTCAAACAAATCTCACTCAAAGTCATCAGTTAATCTCACTCAAAGGCAACATCAGCAAATCTCAAAGTACACATCAGTAGCAGCGACAACACACACGGACACCACCAAACAGACAACACGCCAAAACAACAACAGCTGATCTCTCCCCGTTGCCGCTTCCGTTTTTAAAGGGCTCTGCAACGAACGCGATTGGCAGAGAGAGAAGTCATCGTCACATGGTTGATTAGGATTGGCAGTCCTGTCAGCCAAGAGTGCTCCAAAGTAGGCTGTACCTGAGAAAATGACAGGGCCGGTACAGAGAGAGAGAGAAAGAGATAGAGACAGAAAGAACATACACGCAGCAAAACTGTGTGGTTCGTAACAATCCACATTACCAGGATGATGAAGATGAAACCAGAGTGGACATTTCAGCAAGACAATGATCCAAAACACAGCCAAGGAAACTCTTAAATGCTTTCAAACTAAGAAAATCAAGCTGCAGAATGGCCCAGCCAATCACCTGACTTGAACCCAACAAAAATACAAAAAAAGATCAGATTTAATAGACGAGTAAATGAATTAAATCCGATCAACTTTACACTGTTGCAGTCAGAATATTTACCACACATTGCATTCTTTGACCCATTTTCAAATAGGTTAAGTACATGGTTTTACAAGTACAAGTTTAAGTTGACCACATGCTTATAAGACTTATTTAATGCAGTCTTTTGTTTGTCTTAACAGCCAGTGGAACTAGAGGATGGAAGCATTGTCATTAATGTACGCAACCAGAACAACTACCACTGCCGCTGTCGCATCATAGTGCGCAGTTTGGACGGAGGCGAGTCTCTGCCCGTTGAGGAGCTGGTGTTTGATAAAACACTGATCGACCCAGTTGTAGCAGCCGGAGCCTTGCAGAAACAAGGAGTGATGTACTTCACCAACCCCTCCAGCACACAACACAGTAAGGAACAGCAATTCACCAAGTCTTACAAAGAAATATTCAAGTTAAATCTTTACTGAGACCCTGTTTTTCTTTCATTTTATTACACTCAAAATCATAATTCAGTGGCTTTTTAAATACTAGAATAATCAAAATCTATGCATACTAAATCAAATCTCTGAAAAGCCAACAGTTAATTTTGTGAGAAGTTTACAGCTGTATATTAGATTTATATTTTTCTTGCACAAAAAAAGATGAATAAATTAAATAAATTCACACAAAAGATTAACAAAACTGACAAAATGTAACAAAACAATTGACATTGTTTTCATAAAGCCTTTTTTGCCATGTACTCTCTCATACAGTGCCTGTGAGTTGGTGCATTGCTTTGTTGAAAGATAGGTTTGTGAGTGTACAAGATCATTAACAGGGTTGCATTTACAGTCATCAAAACATACATTTTATTCACAGACACTCAATTTTTTTTAAATATATATAAAATATGAATTAAATGAATTTAAAAGTGAATAATAATATAGAAATGTGTCAACATTTCTATATTATTATAAGTCAACATACAGTGCTCAGCATATACAAGCACACCCCTTACAAATGTATCTTTTAAATTCATATTTTTAAATAGGAAGTTATACAATATTATATTTGTGCATATACATTACATTCGTCAGTACTAAACTAAAAAGTTACTTACTAAAAATACTACGAAAAGTGACTAAAATATTATTTAAATAAATATATTTTGTTTAAACGCACCAAAATACATTCACTAGAGAAATAGATACTAATATTCATTTTCTAAATGGAGTGTACTCAATTTTGCCGAGCACTGTAAATTGTGGCATAAATTCATAGGAACTCATTAGAAAAAAAAAAACGAAATACATTAAATTATATATGATTACTTTCATTTTTCACTGCTTTGACAGTTTTATCAGTACAAAAAAAAACAAAAACAAAGAGTTTGTGAATTGCACTTTAAATAGCTTATCTTTCCAATATAAGGTCAAAAGATCAATAATTAAAACAGGGTGTCCGTGGGGTTTTAATAAGTCTTACATTTCAAAGACTAAATTTTAGGCTTTAAAAGGCTTAAATCCTTTGAAATATTGTGTTGTAGGTCTTAAATCTTTTTAAACAGGTCTTAATTTTGCTTTGTCCCAGTAAAGCTACTCAATCGGGCCGACATCCATCCAATTACCAATGATACATCTCAATAAAACCTTATTCTTTTAAAGTTTTTTTTTTTTTTTTTTGCAAAGAGATGCAATTCACAACAGCCATTTGACATTTCTACAACAAAGTCCCCATTAAATTCCCTAATCAAGGAAAGAAAACTAAAAACAGTTAAATGATTCCTCTTTATAAATCCTAGCCATTAGAAATATGTTAATTGTTTAACCCTGTATACGTCTATAACCTTTAATTCGTTTTAATCTTAAAGGGTTATAAAAAGTCTTAAATTTGACGATGAAATTTGCTGAAACTCTGTAAAGCACACACATTCTTAGAATAATGATCAAAGGTGGACAAAAGAGTAGCAGTTTTAAACAGAAGAGTATCTTCCATGTTTTCTACTGATCTAATAGAGGGGTTCCCAAACTTTCCAGCTCGCGACCCCAAAATAACTATTCCAGTGATTCGTGACCCCCACTATAATCGTAGGTGTTAATAAACACATAAACCCTGCACACAACAGTGCACACACACACAAATTAACAAATTAAATTTAGCCAAATTATAAAATTAATTAGAGGCCAATTTTGATACTATAAAATTTTGCTAAATAACAAAAAAAATAAAGGGCAAGGCAGCAAACAATCATCACTCTTCTCCTGTCCCAGCACTTCAACAATAAATCACACCAAATCTAATATACAAAAACAACAAGTATATTTATTTACAGATTAACAAAAAATAAATAACCAATGGTCAAACATACTAAGGAGGGGATAATGCATAAACAACAAACAAAAGATCTAACTGACTGAGGAAGCAACTTTCTAAACTTCTCAAAAGAAAATTAAAAAGAAAAACAAAGATCTTACCTTGCTCCCTCTCTACCAGAAACAGGAGAAAAATAAATGTATTAAACAAAGAAGAGACATCCACCTCCATACTGCTCCAAAAAGTTGAAACAAAACTAACAAGATAAAGTATTAAATAAACAAAGGGAATTTAAAGTCAAAATTTCACTATTGTTCACTAACAACAAGATTTGTAATTTTACAAGTATCTCAATTATTCAACACCAAAAGCTAGTCTGGGGCAGGAGAAGCAAGTGAGCGCAGCCTTTACCAACTAGTGTTTGGCACAATCTCTCTTTGTTTTTTCCTGCCGCATGCTCCAGCCACTTAATTGCCAACAGGTGAGACAAGGTAGAAAGAGAGAGAGAGAGAGAGAGAGAGAGAGAGAGAGAGAGAGAGAGAGAGAGAGAGAGAGAGAGAGAGAGAGAGAGAGAGAGAGAGAGAGAGAGAGAGAGAGGGAGAGAAAAAACAAAAGCAACAACAAACCCCCCCACAGGGTGGCAGTGTACCGCATTTGAAACCACATACATATATAAAGTGTATACATATATTCTTCTTTTACAACCTTTATATGCAACAGTGGGCACAATGTTTATAGCAAAAGACTATTCTTGGTTTATTTTTGGAGACAGACACTTGGAGATTGTCCTCTATGTTCTGTCATAGCCTAAATTTGTTATGCACGTGAGTGCCGTAAGGGTGTCTTAAGTTTAACAATGTGCCGTAAAATCAATCTGCACCAGCTAACGCTGTGTCTTTAATCTAGCATATAACCCCAGGGGTCGCAATCTAATGAAAAAAAAAACATTAAGGCTGATGGCTTTTTAATTGCATGTTGTTTTTATGTAACTATTAAACAATTTATATCTTGTGCAGTTTATGGATAAAATATGATATTAGTTTAATAACATATATGATATTTTTAAGAAATCACCAAGCGACCCCCACTTTAGGAACCATTGATCTAATAGACCAAAATATATCTATTTTTTTCTCTCTATGTTTTTCTTCTTCATAGGGGTCAATCTAACTCTTCGCTGGTCTTTCACTGATGGGAAGTCATGGGAGAAGGAGGCCGTCCAGATCTGGGCGGGGCCAAGCGGTTACTCCACTATGACATCACTCAAAGGAGGTTCTGCTGAGGACAACAAATACATCTTCGTCGTTTATGAAAAGGGCCACAAAGATTACTGGGAGACCATCTCTTTTGCCAAAATCCATCTGTATGGAGGGAAATAGCACACCGATGGAGGAGCCGAGAAAAAGGGAAACTTAGGACTTCGAAAATTGACAGGTTTTTTGGAGAAAACCAAGCTATCATCCTGATCTGAAATCAGTTTTACAGTTCTTTAAATAAAATCGGGTCTGTACTATGCACTGCTTTTAAGATTCACTACGGAAAGAATCAAAATATCCTGAATCAGTGATTGAGATCTAGAGTCATTTAATTTATAAAAACACAGCCATGATTGTGCCAACATTTTTACTCGTCTCACTCCAATGCACAAATCCTTCTGAAATAAAAGCAATTTGAACACGTTTTATGAGCTGCACATGAGCTGCATGTGTTTATCAGGCCTATCTGATGCTTTTGAACCCTTTATCTGCTTGTTCAGTCGTGACGTATGGAATACTGTTTTTGAGTCCGAGGCGTATTCGTTTATGACCCTTTTTGGTCATATAACACATTAAAGGGATTTTATTTTAATATAAAATCATGGTGTACACAACAATCTTTAGACTTGCTGCATCACAGACATCAATATTTGAACAGTTTGTAAAAAAAATTTGCACTTTCTGATATTAGGTATGGTTATATATACACTGTAAAACCCATCAGTCAACTTTATCAAATGAAATGAGTGTCGTTAACTCAATATTGACTGAAAGTTAATTCTACTTATTTGAAAAAGTTTTGAACTCGGTGTTGAAGGTAATGAGTTCATTAAATGCCTCATTACTTCTACTTAAATGGAGTAAGTTCATAGTACTCATATAGATTAGTTTTGAACTCAAATGGTTTGTTGCAGTCGGTTTCCTCAAACGGTTTGAGTTGCCTTAACTTATTGGGTTTTACAGTACTCAACTGGTTTGAGTTCTCTTCATTTATTGGCTTTTACTTTGCTCAAATTGCTTCATTTACTTAAATGGATTAAGTTGACAGGACTCATTAGGATTAGTTTTTGATTTTAAATGGTTTGTTGCCATCTGTTTCCTCAAATGGTTTGAGTTACCTTAACTTATTGGCTTTTACAGTGTATATATTGCAATCCTAATTTTCAGAAGTATTAACACGCTTTGTGAATGTTTATTAGTAACATTAGTCGAGTCTCCATTAGTTATTACCTTTAGTTGAGTCTTTATTGTCATTCCGCTACATGTGTGGACATACAGAGGAACAAAATGTTGTGTCGCATGACAACTGTGCTACATCAATTAATCATAAATTCAAACACAACACTGGACATAAGAGCTATTTTAAAAAAACCTATGCATAACTATACTATAAGATACTTGACTATACCGAAGACTATAGAATACACAAGACATGTCACTAGTATCTTTTTGAATGGAAAAAAGTGTAACTGTCAATATGGTGAATAAAGCCCCGTCTACTAGTACAGAAGCCAATCATTGATCACTACATGGTGAAAAAAGCCCGCCTTCTTGTACAGGAGCCAATCACGATACTCTTCGGGAGGGGCTTGGACCAGACTTGAGTTTCTGCAGATTTTGTGTGATTTGAACGTTTAGAAATGAAACTAAAGACAGTTGTTGTTTAATTTTATTGGTGATTCCTAATATGAAATTCAATCGTAAGCTTGGCAAGCAGTTTTGGAGAATTTGATGTTTCCCCATTCAAACAGAATGCCTGAGCCTACTGCCCAAGAGGTGTTTTAAAGATAGAAATGACTTGCCTTAAAGGGACTTTGACTATAAACATAAGACTATAAGGCTATACAAATACTTTTACTGAACAATGTTGTGCAGGATGTTGTGCAAAAGAGGTTAGAGGTTTAATATTGTGCTAAAAAGTTTCTAAGGGTTAATTCAAGCAGTGCAACATGATTGTGGTACATTTATAGTAAACATCATTTTCATTATTGAGCTCTTGTAAGATGGAGTTTAGATAAAGTGTCAGGTGCATTATAGAGAAGAGTGTTTCTACAGGAAATGAAATCCAACAAATGATATAGGTCTGCTATCATTTATCACTGCTTTGACATTTTTTACAATTTCATCAGTAAAATCTCCATTTAAAAGCGTGTAAATTGCACTTTAAATAATTATTTTTGCAATATTAAGGAATAATCATCAAAAAAAACAATAATTAAAATCATTTAGTACATCATGATTGTTATTAAATTAGTAAACCTTTATTATTACCATTTGTTGAGTCTCCCCATACAGTTTGATCGAGCGATTGGACCCAGAAGCTGCTACACGTGTCGTCACACTTAACAAGCGAATTGGTTGAAGAACCTTGTATGGTAAATTCATTGACATTGATAACAATATAATTCATAATAATCATAAATATTCTAAACGCTTGTATTAACCCTCAGTAACAGTATTCCAATGGGTGACCTAAAGGTTAAATCACTGTTTGTCTTCCTGACACTTTCCTATTTTTATTTAATTTGTTGATGTGGTTTACAATAATGCAGTTGAAGTGAATCTTCGTGAAGCTGTGGCAATCTTATATGGTTGTTTTCTGTTGATTTGCAAGACTTGAGTTAATGTTTTAAATATATGAATGTAATTTCTTTTTTAATTACCTTAATGTGTTTCTCCATTTCCAGGTTTTGATCAAATGAATGAAGGGCTTAAGTTTTGCTTTTGTCAACTGTAAGACACAAGGCTTTGAGAACCATAGACACTATAAGCAAACCATGTTTACGTCCTCCATGTCTGTGACATCAGAAAACTCAAATTATATTCGACCTATGTAATTGATGTACTACTGGTTTTGTTTGTCCTGCCTGGCCTTTTTGTGAACAGATTCAAAGGGCAGCCATATATTTGGGAAACATCCAACTGTAAGTGATTTTTGAGTATTATAAGGAAGCTTTGCTGAAAGTCTTTCACTGAATTACATTTGATGAACTGACTTCTCATTCATCTGCTGGGTTTACACAGGGACATTTCATTGTTCAATAAATCTTTCTATTTTAATACAGCAACTGCTTGTTTGATTTGTTTACGTTCACCTAAAAGCCAGTAGAATAATGGAATACAGAGGTGCTTTTTTTTTAATCGAAGTGTTTTCATTTTTTGTTCACTCAACCAGTGGCCTACCCAGTGACCATGAAGTTAGATTAACTCACTTGCCAACGTTTTCTTTTTTACAAGAGGCAGAAAAAATAGTGAAGCATTTTTTTACTATTAATATTCTTAAGTTTTATTTTTGATTATTTAAATAAATCAACCGCCAACTATTGTGGCATATGTTTTTGCAGCGGATGCCCTTCCAGCCAACTCAATACTGGAAAACACTCATACACTAAGGCCTGTTTTTGTTTACGTAATTCACCTATAGCACGTCTTTGGATTGTGGGGGAAACCGGAGCACCCTGAGGACACGCCAACATGGGGAGAACATGCAAACTCGGAAATGCCAACTGACCCAGCCGGGACTTGAACCAGCGACCTTCTTGCTGTGAGATGACAGTGCCAACCACTGGGCCACCATGACACCTGATCTTTAAACCATTTATTAAGTAAGTAATGTGTTTTTATATAGTGCATTTATCGTGTATGGCCATACACCCAAATCACTTCACAATCATGAGGGGGTCTCTCCACACCACTACCAGTGTGTAGCATCCACTTGGATGATGCGACGGCAGCCACAGGACAACAGGGCCAGTGTGCTCACCACACACCAGCTACAGGTGGAATGGAGAGGTAGGCTGTTTCTCAATATGCGTTCTTCAGCGGTCTTGCGTCCTCGTGTTCTCGTGCAACGTCATCATCAGCTGCCTAAGTTCAGTTCCAATACTCAAGACCGCAAGTACGGAGGACGCGTGAAACTTCCCGGATGTGTTCTTGATATCGAGGACGCACTGATGCAGACTTGACCACCGAACTCGCTCTGGAAGTCCCCGAAGTCATTGCGACTGGAGGTGGGAAGCGCAGCATTTTATTTAGATTTATTATTAAAGTTCAGAGATATCACTTATTTACCTCAGGAGTTTCCCTAAATGAAACGGTGAAAATAAACATTAACATGGACATCTTAATATAGGAATAAACACATTAAGGGTGTTTGTTTGCTGAAAATCGTATTAAAATCTGTTTTATTTATATTGTGCAGAGCATATTTATAATGTTTTTATGCAAAGTATATATTTTGAAGAGGGGAAAAACAATAAATCGTTGTATGAATGCTGTAATGTTTAAATAATTTCTATTTTAAACACGTGAAGGTCATATGACCATCAGGAAGAACGCAGCATCCCATTTCTCAAAGGATGCGTTCTCTGCCCTCGCGGTCTCCTGAGTTCGTTCTTTCGAGGACACCTGGCAAGACCGCTCTCCACAAGAACACAAGTCCGTTCTCTGCGTTCTTGGAATTGAGAAACAGCCATAGTGATAGAGCCAATTCAGTGGATGGGGATAATTGGGAGGCCATGTTGGGTAAGGGCCTATTAAGGGAATTTGGCCAGGACACCAGGGTTACAACTCTACTCTTCAGATAAGTGCCCTGGGATTTTTAATGACCGCAGAGAGTAAGGACCTCGGTTTAACGTCTCATCCGAAAGACGGCGCCCACTGACAGTGTAGTGTCCTCTTCACTTTACTGGGGCATTAGGACTTACACAAACTGCAGGTTGAGCGCCCCCTGCTTGCCTCTCTAACACCACTTCCAACAGCAACATAGCTTTCCCATGTGGACTCTTATCTTGGTACTGACCAGGCTCAGCCCTGCGTAGCTTCAGTGAGTAACCGGTCTTGGGCTGCAGGGTGATATGGCATTTGATTTTTCTTTATTCAAAACATTTCATTTAAAACACTATCTAACAGTTTAAAACTGTAAAATAAACATATGGACAGTGATTTAACAAGATTGTAGTAAATGTTTAGAAAAGTTTTCTGGTGCATCAAAAAGTGTGCTGTTATCTTAACTGCAGACAAACGAATCCAGTGCAAATGAATGCATCAAGTATATGATTGAGTAAATAAACCTCAATTAAATACAAAATTAGGGAAATAAATGGAAAAAGATCCACATTTTGAGAAACAGAACCACTCATTTCACTGTAGGCTGGCGAAATGTCTGACATATATTTCTCTGTTCTCGTAATTGATCTGTAACAGAAACACTATATGAATGTCTGCAAAAAAACTTAAGAAAACAAGTTTTAGGAAATTTCTTTCAACACGTTTGAGACTGAATTAAAGTAAAACATGATTTTTTTTTAACCTGTTTCCATTGTGTCAAATATAAATCTTTTTTATTCATTAATTTCTCAAATAGAAAACTGGATGTGCCTGTATAACATATTTGACATTGCTTCATTATCTCGTGGTGTTCATAT